CTCTCTCTCTCTCTCTCTCTCTCTCTCTCTCTCTCTCTCTCTCTCTCTCTCTCTCTCTCTCTCTCTCTCTCTCTCTCTCTGTGATGTATCCAGATACTGACCTGCGGAGAGGTGGTGCCTTGATGCAGCTACGGACGTGCTGAAGACGAAGCTGAGGCTATGGCATCACAGGTAAGTCGTCAGGTACGTCCCCTGGCCTCCACCTCATCCTCTACTCCTCCACAACCCGCTCCAGTTTGCTGCAGCCCAAGCTCGAGGCTGATGTCGTCAATATGGAGAGCCCCCAGCGCCGAAGTCTACGGCTACTGCGCCCAGCGCGTCGACTACTCTACCTCCAACCGTGTGTCTCTGGTGCAGCGCTGCTCAGCAGCGTGAAGAATGTCACCTCCAACTGTCTCTGCCTGGGAATGAGGCTGGCCCAGCTATAAATACTGCTGGGCCTACTGTTGAAGTGAGCCTCCGAACTGGAGGCAGTAGCAAAATGCAGAATGGCACCCAGCAGGGAAGTGGCAAAGTTGGCGCCCATTCTGAAAAGTGTCAAAATGCAGAATCGCGCCCAGCTGGGAAGTGCCAAAGTCGGGGCCCATTCCGAAAACTGTCAAAATGCAGAATGGCGCCCAGCTGGGAAGTGGCAAATATGGCGCCCATCTGAAAAGTGGAAAATGCAGGATGGTTCCCCGAACTGATCCGGGCCTAACTGACGGCCACTGGGCCTGCATCGGCCCTCCTATGAAGTCGGATACATGCGTGCTAGCGGGAAGGGACTGACTCTAGCTACTAGGAGACGGCTGGGACTCGGAAGGAAGACTACGACCCCTAACCTGTGTGGCTAACCCTCTAACCTACTACGGGCCCACGGGGCCACTGTGGTGCATACCACAGATGCCCTGTGAACATCCATGCTGGAGATGAAAGAGCCACTAGAGCTACTTATGCAACCGTGAGGAGACAAGTGAGAGAGAGGCCTAGAGGAGAGAGATTTTGGGCCATTCATTCATTTATTATTGTATTCTATTCATCATATAAGAGGAGGTGGAGATTATGTGTGGGAGTTGATGATGGCAAAAGGAGGGAGATGACATTGGTTCAATCTCTTCTTCTTCTTCTTCTTCTTCTTCTTCTTCTTCTTCTTTCCTTCTTCTGTTACGATCCTGGCCAATTTCGAAGTGCAAATTGACAAGAAAGTACAATGCCGTCCAATTGCAAAAGAAATGAATGAACTTTAGATGAGAGAGAGGTAAGAAGAAGAAGAAGAAGAAGAAGAAGAAGAAGAAGAAGATGTACACCAGAAAAAGACCAATCATAATCCCCCCTTCTCTCACCAACCGACTCCTCCTCGTTCATTCAAACAATAATCATAATAATAGTAATAATAATAGTAAATAATAATAATAATGAATGGCTGAACCAGAATCAGTGTCCAAATCCCTCTTCTACTGCCAGAGCAACAAGCGGTCCACCATAGCCATTGCCGCCCTCCTCTCTCTTCTTCATCCAGGCCTAGGCTATGGCGGCCTACTAAGGGCCTTGTCCTGACGTGCAAAAGACAACGCAAAGCAGCTATGGCCCCTTTCTCTCAGGCCGCCATGCCTGACTCTGCCTCAAAGCTTCTTGATGCAGCGCTACCCCAACTGGGTCTTCCAGATGCAGCGCCTACCAAGGTGATGAACATGGTGTAGCCAGGTAAGTACCCCCGGCGCTCCTCTTCCCTCCTCCTCCTCCCCGACCTCATCCACCATAGCCAGGGCGGAGAGCTGGGCGCTCCTCKTCCCCACAGCTCTACTCTAGCACTGCTTCATCCAGCGCTCCAGCAGCGTGACCACAAAGCGGCATGCAGCAAATGAGGAGGAGCGCTTCGCTCCTCCTGGAGACATAGCTGCCAACCTGCCTCTTGGGGGATGACTTCCAGACTGCGCCCCTTCCAAGCAAATTGGAACCTCCTCCCTTTCGGAGGGAAACATCATTGCAGGCTCTGATATCGTACGCACAGGCCCTAGACTCAGACTACTTGGACTGGTACCAGCCTAGACCTAGCCTCTAAAAATGCTAACCTTTTGTCTTCTTCAGCTCGGCCTTCTGCTACTACACTACCGCTACTTGAGTGTGTCCTAAGCTACCCCTTCGGCCAAGGCCACAGGTAAGTACCGGCCCTATGGCCTCCCAAACAAACGAGTGCCCTGGCGGGCCAGACGCACACACAGCCCGACAAGGACATCCAGCCACACACAGACAGAAAACTCAGCAAGGCATTCATTCCAGCGGCAAAACTCAGAAATCAGCTGTGTTCTCAGTCCGTGTTTTGGCAGGTCCTTACACTTCATTCTTCTTCTCTCCTCAGTCTAAATCCACTTCTTGAGTTGCAAAAGATTGCATTGGCTTAAATTTGAGTCTTGCCTTGTGAATTGAGCAGGGTTATAGCGGATGCCTTAGCCAGCAAAGCCCAGATGATAGTGGGTATTGTGTTGGGAAGAATTCCAGAGCTTGAGTCATATGTTTTATTGGCAGCTTACCTTTTTCCAGCATGCAGTTGAGATACAAATGCATAACCACTACAAACACCGTCTTATATCGATATAGAACCTATTTTGTCAAAACTACCTTTAGAGCATGGTTGCCCCAGACACGGACATTCAGACATCCAGACACCGACAGCCGACCCGTGTGTGGATGAACCAATCGTCCGCTTAATAGGACATGCATCCGGACATCCAGACATCCAGACGTGGACGGTCCGGTTGGATGTGTTGACGTCTGAATGTCCGGATGCACTTGAAAAAATAAAATAAAAACTGCTACACACACACACACACACATCAATGCACGCAAGTGCTCTACACACACACACACACACACACACACACATGAAAGCAGACAACTGCTGCAGCAGCAACAACAGCTGCACCTGCTGTGGCAGCTGCAACAAGTGCAGCACTTCTTGCAACTGCAACAGGAGGTGTAGCTGTTGTTGCTGCTGCAGCAGTTGTTGCAGCGGTTGTCACTGAAGCTGCAGCTGTTGCGGCTGCTGTGAAATGAGCCAAGWACTCGTCAAGCTCAACCTCGCATACATCAATGAACATTCACAGGAGAGTTCACACGTGAGAAGCCAAATCGAGATACAATCAACACTTGAAGATGCCGTCTCCAATATTATTATCAATATACAAGAATGTTTGTCTCCAGCGGCTCTGCCGCAC